CACAAAATCCCACAACCCCAGTCTAGTGATGAGAAAAACATTAGGCAAATCCCAGCAGAGGGGCATCCTACCATACACCTGACCAGTACCCCGCAACACTGTCAAGGTCACCAAAACCAGGCAAGTCTGGGAAATGCTCACAGGCAAGGGCAGCTCAATACGCGGGACACTAAGTAACAAATCAGGAAGCCGGACCAAACTGCAGCCTCAGGGAATACAATGTATCAGCACTGAGCGAATACAATGTATCATCACAGAGCTCTGGCCGCTACAAATGTATCTCAGTTTAAAAGGCTCCCGGGTGGGATTGTGGGGGGGGCGGGGGGCGGGGAGTATATGGAAACTACCGTCTGCTCAGTTTTTCTGTTAATCTAAACTGTTTTTTAAAATAAATGCTATTAATGAAAAAAATGGAGTTGACACTGTATCCAGCTCAGATATAGGCAACTCACTGAACTTCCCTCAACACAGACTCGTCACTGGCACATCATAACAAGTATTGGTGCCCTCACCGGTGTGGCTCAGTGCATAGAGCGTGGGCCTGCGGACCGAAGGGTCCCGGGTTCGATTCCGGTCAAGGGCATGTACCTGGGTTGCGGGCACATCCCCAGCAGGGGACGTGCAGGAGGCAGCTGATCGATGTTTCTCGCCCATCAATGTTTCTAACTCTCTATCTCTCTCCCTTCCTCTCTATAAAAAAAAAATCAATAAAATGTAATTTAAATTGGCCATAAGTCCTTACTCATCATCTTTGCTTCTTTGTTGTTGTGTTTTGATCCTCACCAAAGGATATTTTTTTCCATTGATTTTTTAGAGAGTGGAAAGGAGAGGGAGAGACAGAAACACGGATGTGAAAGAGATACATCGACGGGTTGCCTCCTGCATGCACCCCGACCAGGGCCCGGGCCGGGGAGAAGCCTGCAACTGAGGTACATGCCCTTGATCGGAATCGAACCCAGGACCCTTTGGTCCACAGGCCGACGCTCTACCCACTGAGCCGCACCAGCCAGGGCTTGTTTTTTAATAACACGAAGGAAAGAGAATGAAGGAGCAGGCAGTACACACACCATAGAAAGGGTCCGAAGTCCAGGAGAGGCACAGCCTCTGTGCTGAAGGCGAGAGCCCTGGCTGGGACGGGGCCGTCAGGAGCAGTACCTACAAGTGTCACCGATGCCAGCCTTCCTGGTGCAAAGGACACCGGAGAGCGTGGCTGTCCGCCATCACGCCTTACACGACAGCGGTTTCGCTCTGACACTTCATGTCAGGGGCCACGCGGTCTATCCTAAGGCTCCTTTCTTCCCCGAGCGGCGGCAGAGGGAAACAGAACTGTTCCCAGGGCCAAAGGCAAAGGGCCAAGCAGATAAACCGCTCAGCCCCAGGCAGGCAGCCTCCTGGGAAACTCATAACCCACCCCATCTCGGGGAGAACCCTCCACCGCAGCGGTTCTCAACCCGTGGGTCGCGACCCCTTTGGCGGTCGAACGACTCTTTCACAGGGGTCGCCCAAGACCATCCTGCATATCAGATATTTACGTGACGATTCATCACAGGAGCAACATGACAGTGATGAAGTCGCCACGAAAATAATGTTACGGTTGGGTCACAACATGAGGAGCTGTATTGAAGGGCCAGAAGGTTGAGAACCGCTGCTCTACCGGGTTTTCCTGCTCTACCAGTGCTCGGCCACATGGCCTCCCTCCTCCTATTCCTAATACCTGCCCTGCCCTCCCCCCTTAAGATTGAGGAGCCCATCCACAGTGAGGAGGCCACCTTACTACCCACTCTAAGTCCAGTTCGGACTTTGATCATCGAAACCAGGACTTCCCATTAGTCAAGCAAGTCATGACCTGCCTGTGGCCCTGAGTCAGCATCGGGCGAGGCCACCGGCCCCCCTAAAGCAGAAGCCCAGTGGCCCTTGGCTGGGAACTCGGGCGCCCGCGCCCTGGGACCTGCAGTTCCGTTTGTGAAGAGCCCGTGTTCTGAGCAGGAACCGCACAGGGCAAGGCGCCTTCCTCTGGCAGAAACGGAACTAGACGCGCGGGTCCTGGGAGGGGCAGTCGGGACAGGTCACCGCAACTGCCGGGCAGGCGCCGCGGGAAGGAACCAGGGCGGCCTGCCTGGAGGAAGAGGCGGCTCCGGACCTCGGGGGCTGGGCGATGGGACTCCCCTCCTCTCCCTCTGCGGGGGGCACCCGGGCGCCACCTGCGCACTCACCGCGGGCCCCGCGTCGCCCACGCGGTAGGTGAGCAGCACCTGGAAGCGCTCGCCCGCCGGCAGGGGCTGCGGGAGGCTCAGGCACAGCGCGCAGCCGTAGCGCGCGAAGGGCCGCGTGTGGAAGCCCACGGGCTCCTCGGGGCCGGGCGGCTCTCCGGGTCCCGGCGGCCCCCGCCGCAGCGCCGCCGCGGTCACCTCCAGGCTCGGGTGCGAGTCCAGCCGGAGCTCGGCCGCGCCCGCGGGCACCAGGCAGCGCAGGTCCAGCACCGCCGAGCCGCTCAGCGTGCGGCTCGCGAACTCGGCCCGCAGGTCCAGGTGCAGGTGCAGGACCTCGAAGTCCCGGAAGCTGGACGCCGAGGCCACGTCCTCCGCGCGCGCCGAGTGCAGCGCCCGCCGGCCCGCGCCGCCCGCGGCCCCGCCGCTCGCCATGGTGCCCGGCCGCCGACTGCCGGTTCGCCCGGCCGCCGACCTGCACCGGGGCCCGAGCCCCGGCCCGCCCCGAGCGCACTGCGCCGCCGCGGCCCCGCCCTGGCCCCGCCCTCCCCGCAGGCCACGCCCCCACGGAAATCCGGGCCGGGCCACGCCCCCTCCAGAAATCTGAGCCGGGACCACGCCCCCGTCCCAGAGTTTTCATAAAAGGAAATAGTATTATATCATGTTTCCCAGCATCCTGGTGTTAAAATACTTATTTTATGCAACGCTTATTGGTTTTTTAAAAATTCCATATAAGGTCAGCTTCTCTCTCTCTTTCCTCGTCGTGGTCAGTGAAATCCGTAAACTGGAAAACCCCTTTGCCGTGGCATTGATCACAGCGCCTGGTACCTATTGGCGATCAGAACTCCGCCTTGAAATGGCTCCTTCTCTGTCGCAAAGCATTTCTGTTGCGCACACCGCACAGCAGCCATTCGCCGGGTGCGGGTGCGGGGCTTGGCGGGGACAACGTTGGCAAGTCCGGCACAGCCCGGTCCTGGACTCAGTTTAGTGCCCTTTCCAGGCAAGAAAACAGGCCGTGACGATCCGTGTGCTGGGCCACGCCCGGGGGGGGGGCAGAGCACTGAGGGGACCACCCACCCCTTCCCCAAACTGCGTTCATTACTATTCACTTTAAATGCCTAGAATGTCACACAGCTCGGACATCTCAAAATAAAGGGCTGGAGATCTTCCAGAACTGATGAAAAGCATGAGTTCATCAAGGTTACAGGATACGATACGTAAAATCAACTGCATTTCTACTTAGTAATAATAAAATTTGAAATTTTAAAAATACCGTTCAGCCCTAACTGGTTTGGCTCAGTGGATAGAGCGTCGGCCTGCAGACTCAAGGGTCCCAGGTTCGATTCCGGTCAAGGGCATGTACCTGGGTTGCGGGCACATCCCCAGTGGGGGGTGTGCAGGAGGCAGCTGATCGATGTTTCTCTCTCATCAATGTTTCTAACTCTCTAGCCCTCTCCCTTCCTCTCTGTAAAAAATCAATAAAATATATTTAAAAAAAAAAAATACCGTTCAAGTAGCACTCTCAAACATGAAATGCCGAGGTTTAAATCTAAGAAAATACGGTGTGCGGGATGTTTGTGCTAAAAAATGATGGAACACTGACAAAACTTCATTCCAATAAAATTCCAGCAGGTTTTTGTGGTAAAATCTATGAGGACAGGAAAGGAAGAGCCGCCGCTGAGAGAGATGAACAAAGGAGAGGGTTCAGCTCCAATGTCAGAGCTGCCTGCAGTGTGACTGCGGGGAGCGGGGGGAGCAGAGCCGGGATCCACTGTTCACTGAGCACCTGTCCTCACTGGGCTCCTGCCGGGGACCCCGCCTGGCACAGCTCCTCCTGTCCCCCCCAACCACCCCCCACCCCCCGCCCCGTGTGGGCTGTACTCATCTGTCGCAACCGCGGGCCCTGCCCCTGAGCAAGGAACCCCCCCCACCAGCGTCCTGCACGTGCAGGGACCACATGGGAAGCTCCCCAGAGAGAGCTGGTCTTCCATCGTTTCAGGCTTTCCTCCCACCCCACCCCCAATTCCACAAGGTTCACCTGTGCCCCAGGACGGCTCCCGATATGCAGAGCTGAAGACAGTTCCCTAAGACAATGGCAAACACACGTGCGCATCCCACACATACACACACCCCACCAGGGCCGATCCATAAGGAACGGACGTTCGGAACCGCGATAGCCTTGAGGGGTTTAGCCCTTGACCAGGTTCTCCGCCGTTCCCGGCCTTGTCCTCACGCCGCTCTCCATCACCGGCCCCTCTGAGCGTGAAGAGCTACAGACCGACAAGCACATCTGCACCGACGTGCAAACGCCAGGGGCACAGAGGCAATGGCCGTTAGAATGCAAGCAAAACCGAGGCAGCGCCCCACTCACCCCTTCCGGGAGGCGACACTTTTGGAAAAGAAGTAACAGTGCTGGCAGGAATGGAAAACGGAACCCTCCTGCGTGGCGGGCGGGAGTAAGGACCGCGCAGCCGCTGTGGGAAAGCGCGGCGGCTCTTCCAGCGACACACACAAGGACCGGACGCCCGGAAACCCGCTCGGGGTGGGGGTGCAGGGGCTGGGGGGCAGGTTTCAGCACCTCACAGGGCGGTTTTGAGGACCTGACCCCTTCCACGGGCAGCGGAGGGCGTGGCCTTGCCTTCCATCCAGGAGTAGCCACCGCGGAAGGATCCAGGCGGCTGCACGGCCTCCTCACACACCACTCACCCCAGGGAGACGCCGACACAAACCCCTCGACCCTCGGCAGGCTCTGCGGCACTGGCGTGTTGGCGGGTGAGAGGCAGAGCCTACGACTTATCGAAGAAGGAGCAAGCTCCGGGAGTTTTATTGTTTGACTAACAGAACACCAAGCCAGGCAGGAGTCCCCGAGGAGCTGGTGGCCAAGCTCAGGCCGTGTGCCCTGTGGTCCTGCATCTTCTCGGCCCTTAATGTTTTCTTAAAGATATCAGACACTCACTTTGATTACGAACGCCCTCCGGGCGAATAAATAAGTGGATTATCCTTTAACACCCCACCCCATGTTCCTTTAAATAGAGAAAATGCTAGAAGTCTCTTCGTGGCCTCTGTGGCCGCAGCTGTCCACCTCCGGTCTGGAACCACCTGTCACTGAGGTCCTGAGAGCCGTCCTGCCCGCGCCCTCTGGGAGGAGTCCTACTGGAACTGCCGGTAGTCTCCAAACGGCGTGGACGGCAGTGGGGCCGGGGCCGGGGCCGCAGGCAGCTGGGAGGGGTCGTCAGCAAACTGAGGCCCTGCAGTTCAGAGAAGAGAGTTTTACAAACCACTCAAATATTGCACAGTTAAGAACAAGCCTCTGTAGGAAGTCAAACAACCAGCGCAGTGAAAATGCTGTGTACATCAGCGCTGCAACCTGAACTCCCTGTAACCCTGCCATCTCCCACGCAATCTCCCACACAAGCACCTGCGAACCTGGTGTAAGAACCCTAAGTGAGAAAACAAACTAGCAAGCGGCCGGCCCCACAGTGCGAACCCCAAAGCAATGGCTGAACACAGAAGCAGGAGCGCCAGGGCCCAGTCCCACCGCATCCGTCGAGCAGTGTGTCTGAAACTTGCCCGGATGCGGAATCTCTCTCGAGTGCCTTGGGGAGCTGTGATCCACTCCTAAGTCTACGCGGAATCTCGTCCAAGCTCCCAGATAATTCCCAACCACTGTGTCCCCCTGTCCTGCACAGGGCGCCCGAGAGGCAGGTCAGAGCTTCACTACTGCGTCCTGGGACGCCCGGACACCCCATGTAGACAATCGAGTTGTCCACAGCTACAAGGCTCAGCACACACTCACAGCTAAGCACATGAGGATCCCTCAGCACACGATTTAACTTTCCCCGATTCGTCGGAAAAAGGAACACTTAGCCACAGAAATCCTTTCCCTGAGAACCCAAGATGGACCCTCCCAGACAGGAGTCACTCTCCACCACTCTTCAAAGCCAGGGACACAAGCAAACAACCGCATTCAGCTGTGAATGTGCTGGTCGCCTTCCCACCAGACATTAAGTCCTCGTTCGCACGGTGTCTCCAGCACCTCGGACAGGGCCTGGTGCGGGCACACGCACGGACAGGTGAGGACTGACGGCCATCTTGTCATACATTTTCAAGCCCCTCCAACATGACCAGAAATTTCTTAGCGGGAGCACGTGAGCACTGATAGAGCCTGGGGACCATCAGGAAGATCAGCCAGTTATCTGACCACAGCATTTTGGCGACTGTGCTGGACATGACTGAGCCAGGGCCTTTCCTAACCCTGACCCACAGCGCATCAACACAGAAAATAAGCCGCAAACGACCACCTGTTACAGACAAAATGCGCTTCCTTTAAACATCAGGAAGCCATTCCCAATGTTTGAGTGACGGATGAAGCAGAAAAAGACTCACCGTTGGGGAACTGTGCGGAGGCAAATCTCGTCAACAAGATGCCAGCTCCTTCGATTAAAGCCAGAAGGATGCCGCCCATCGCGGCTGACCCCACCATGGCCACCGGTCCGTCTGGGAACACGGACAACAGAGATCACGTTAACAGAGAGCTGGCTTAAGGCAGACGCAGTGAAGGACAGAGCCGTCATGTGGCTGCACCCCACCCCTTCCCAAGCCCTTTCCCACTGCGGAGCCCAGGGGCCAACAGGCCAACCCAGCTCCCCGCCCGTTCACGTCAACAGCGCTTCCTGGGACGGCTGTGCTCACCCACTGGTGTGGTGGGGGCTGCTTCCACGCGGTGATGGCTGAGCTGCAGAGCTGCGACAAGGACCTCCCGGCCCACAAAGCCCCAAACGGTCACTACCCGACTCTACACCCAGCGAGCCGACTCCTGGCCCGAACTACGAAGCCCAAAGGGATTCTGGGTCACGCTCCGTCCCAAAGATCCAGAAGACGGCTCCATGCGCTTTATCCCCAACCGCCCGGTGCGACAGCAGCCAGGACTAATTCCAGAGAAGCGAGGCGGAGGCAGACGTGGCCCAGAACGTGAGCTGCTCTCAGCCGCTGGAACGTGCGGGTCAGGGCTCCTCGCTCACGCACTCCTCACGGACCCTCTCACTCTCCCCCAATCGCCATATACACTCACACTCACACACTCCTCACGGACCCTCTCACTCTCCCCCAATCGCCATATACACTCACACTCACACACTCCTCACGGACCCCCTCACTCTCCCCCAATCGCCATATACACTCACGCTGTACCAACTCAAGCGATGCCACGTTTTACACATTCCAGACGCCAGTAAATTAAGACACAGGGCTCCCCGCCGTCGTGTCCACAGCGTCTGCGCGGGTGCTTACTTCTGGCGGCCAGGATGGCTCCCGTCAAGGCCCCACTCGTGATGGAGTTCCAGGGGTCCTCCTTCCCTCGGACCTGAACCAGGCTGCAGTCGATCATGGAGAACAGACCTCCCCACACCGCAAAGCTACCTGTGTTATGTCAAAGCAAAACCGTTCAAACTTTACCTTCTCATCTTACATTTAAAGTGCCATAATGAAAAATACGTTCAGCCCTAGCCCATGCGGCTCAGTGGATAGAGCCTCGTCTTCGAACCAACAGCAAAGCCTGGAGCACAAATGGGAAAGCTGCTTTCTTACCTCCCAACTGCGGAGCCCTGGTTTTAATGGCCGTCAGACTCCCTCGCAGCCTGTGGTTCACGCCCTGTGGAAAGGCAGACAGAGGTGTATTCAAAGAACACGGCTTCCAACCCACCGGTGGGGCCCTGTCGGCGACGGTGGCGAACCCCGGTTTCAGGCGGCGATAAAATGAGATACCACTCACCACTGGGGAATTGCGAAAACCTTTGACCGCTTGGAAGATGCCGCCGCCTATGGTACCCATGGTAAAGGCCCCACCACAGTCGTCCACAATGCGCCAGGGGCTAAGAACAGGGAAGAGAGAAAAAGAAAAAAGACCTTACGTCTCATTCTCACTCAATCTTAAAACGGTGTTTGCTAACACAGCAGGGTCCTCTGCAACCGACACACATCTGTATCCATATGCATCCGGCCCCAGTCACCTGAGCCGGGAGGGATGGAGCCTCCCCGCTAACACTCCACCAGGTGGACCGGTTAGAAATGCGGATTCTTTCCAACAGATGGAGTCACACACGTGTGGATATGTATGCGACTTGATGTGTGTGCTATGTTGCTGTATTGCTCCCTCAGATGACCATTTGTCCCGACCGACGGCACACACGCTTTCTGAGCGGCCCTTCAAAACGTGCGAAGACGTGGGATATTGGGCTTCTGGATGGTCTGCCTCAAAACAAGAAAAGTTCTACTGGGACGGTCTCCACAAATGACGCGAAAGACGGGGAAATGTGTCGCTGGAGAGGGACATGACTTTCAACAAAGCACTTTTGATGTTTCTCTTGAAATTGTGTTTTCTTTGATGACAAAACCCGCATTTTTAACTGGTCAAGGGTCAATCCGCATTACTAACCGGTATCCGCATTATTAACCGGTTAATAGCTAATCCGCATTACTAACCGGTACACCTAGTATTCATTCATTTAACAAAAGTCGGGGGAGGGGGCTGTGCATAGACCGTGCACCGTGGGAGTAGCGTGGGGGCTATACTGTCATCCAGAAAGCGGCCCATCCCAGCCCTGACAGGTGATTCACCCAAACAAACGGCATTTCTCTCTGAGGCCCCCGGAAGCCTTCATCGCAGGCAACTGGAAAGGCCATCCTGCCCTTTGCAAGGACCCACCTGTGTGCTGCCTTCTCCACCTTTCACTCCCGGGACCGAACAAAGCGCTGGGCAGGGGCTGGGCAGGGGCCCTCCCTCCGGAAGCGCTGAATGAATGAATGGATGGATGGATGACTGAGTGAGTGCGTGAATGAATGAATGACTGAGTGAGTGAATGAATGAATGAGTGAATGGATGGATGGATGGATGGATGAACCTTGTGGGTAAAACCGTCGCCCACTCCCCGCCCGGGGTCACGCATCGCGACACCAATGCCTCGGAATGGCCCCCCACCCCGAGACCGGGGACGCGTCCGAGGTCACCTCGGCCGGCAGTGGGGGGCAAGGCGTGACCCCCACACAAGGTGGGCGCGGCCCGGGGCTGAGAGCGGGTCGGAGGCTCCATCACGCCCCGTCCACCGCAAGGTCACGGGGGGCTGCGTGCGGGAGGCCCGCGTTGGGGGAGCCGACGGGACGCTTCAGCCCGCGTCGCCCACGGGTCCCGGGCCGGCGCCGTCGACCTGGGCGACCGGAGACCGAGGAGAGCGACGGGCGACGGGCAGGGCCAGGGGAGGACACCGGTCAACTCACCAGGGCTCTCGCGCGTACTCCTCCATCTTGACCTGGGCGCGCGAGCGACGCCGGGAGAGCGGGGCAGGGCGTGACCCGGAAGCGGAAGTAATCCCAGAGGCGGGCGTGAAGGTCTGTGGGGATTGGCTCGCCGCTTCCGCACGCAGCCAATGGGAGCTCGGAAGCGTGAGGCTGGCCCCGCCCCCGTCCCCCAGACGGTCCCCGCCCGAAGGGAGCTCGGGTTTCCTGTCCCCGAGGCGCGAGGTCCAGAGGGGAGCGCGGTGCCGTCCCGCTGAGGTTGGGGCTCACAAACGCCCCAATACGCGCCCCTCCCTGAGCCCGCTGGCTGCGCGCCGCGAGTGAGTGCCGCCCGGTCAGTGCGTCCTGAGCGCGAAGCTCTCGCCGACGACGCGCAGCCTCGGGTCCCGGCGCCTGGAGTGCAGCGAGGGAACCGCACAGGCGGGCGGGGCGCGGGCCGGGAGGGGCCGGCGGCCTCAGTCTCTGCTGGGCCTCCCTCCAGGGGTCCCCGGAGGACGGGCCCCACAGGCCGGGGACCCGCGCCCCCTAGTGGCCGTGGACAGGCCCCGCCCGTGCAGGCCGCAGCCTGGAGATGGACCAAGCACGTTCCCCTGGGGCAACGCGGGGTCCCGCAGCCGGAAATCCGAGTCTAACTTAGGGTCCCCCCAAACGTCACTGTGGACAGGGACCTGCTGACCCTGCTGACCGGAAGCCTCGCCCGCGACGTGCATGGTGCACAGTAGCCCCCGTTGCGGGGCCTGTGGGCTCTGCTCCGTGCGCCGCCCCGAGGGAGCCAGGGGACGGCAAGTGTCACCAGGAAATCGCGGGGGAGAGGAGATACGTCATCATCGATTGAATGCGACCATATCGCCTCCATCAGCGTCACCCCCACTGTCGCCTTCAGGGGCTGTGCTAGGGAATCGGCCGTAAGGAGGTTCAGGAATCCTCCTTCCCAGCCAGACACCCCCTCCCCCGCCCCCAACACCCAGGAAAAACCCCGGCGCCCTGGCCGGTGTGGCTCAGTGGATAGAGCGTCTGCCGGAGGAGACTGAAGGGTCCCGAGTTCGATTCTGCTCCAGGGCATGTAGCTCGGTTGCAGGCTCCTCCCCGGCCCGGTGCCCTGGTCGGGGCCTCTTCTTTGTCTCTCCCTATCTCGTCCACTCTCCCTAAATATCAATGGAAAAATACCCTCAGGTGAGGATAAAAAAATAAAAATGAAAAAGTAGTATCTTTAAAAAACACACAAAAAAGAAACAAAAAGGAAACCCCGATTTCATGGACACGTAAGGCTCACCCGCAGGCAGCTCTAGGGTTTGGGGGTCCAGGCTGTGGCTGGGGCTGTTTGCTGGGCAGGAGGTATGGGGGGGTGGGGGGGCGGGGGGGGATGGGGGAGCGGGGATCTCTCCTCTCTTCTGACCTCTCCCCTCCCCTCCCGGCCTTTCAGGAAGACATTGGTTCGTGGGCCTGGCCCGTGCTCCGGCTCAGAGCTCCCTGCCCGGTTCTGCTCACCTAGGAGGCTTGCAGGCCCGGCTTCGTCCGGAGAAACCCCCGCCTCCCTCCCCGCCCGCAGAGAAGGGAACGGGGTGACTGGACGCGAGCTCACTGTCTCAGCATGTGTGATCCTGCTTCCTGCGTCCAGTTCAGTGACTGCACCCCCTTCCTCCAGGCAGGCACTTGGGACACCCTCACTGCCCACCCCCTCGGGCTCAGAGAGGCGTGAGGAGGCGCCCAAGGACAGGCACCTCAGACCCGAGTCCAGGTCACCCGACTCCGATACCGTGGCCCTCTCTGCTTTCCTGCCCTGCCACCCCCGGTTCACAGACGGCGAAGGTGAAGTGAGTCCCGGAGGAGAAGGCGGCTGGCCCAGAGTCGCGGCAAATAGCAAAGCCAGGGCCCGACACGGGTCGGTCGGCCCAGAGACGCCCCGCTTTGGGTTCTTATTGCGGTAAAACTGGTGTATAAGAGTATCTACATGTCAGGGGCACGACGTTATAATTCTTTTAAAAATATATATATTTCTGCCAAAACCGGTTTGGCTCAGTGGATAGAGCATCGGCCTGCGGACTGAAGGGTCCCGGGTTCGATTCCGGTCAGGGGCATGTACCTGGGTTGCGGGCATATCCCCAGTGGGAGATGTGCAGGAGGCAGCTGATCGATGTTTCTCTCTCATCGATGTTTCTAACTCTCTATCTCTCTCCCTTCCTCTCTGTAAAAAAATCAATAAAATATATTTTAAAAATATATATATATATATTTCTTTATTAATTTCAGAGAGGAAGGGAGGAGAGAGAGATAGAAACATCAATGACGAGAGAGTAACTGATTGGCTGCCTCCTGCACGCCCACCACCGGGGATCTAGCCTGCAACCCAGGCATCATGTGCCCTTGGCCAGAATCGAACCTGGGACCCTTCAATCCGCAGGCTGACGTTCTATCCACTGAGCCAAGCCGGGCAGGGCATATAATTCTTTTAAAGTTATTTCTAAATACACTTTCATTGACTTCAGAGAGAGAGGAAGGGAGAGAGAGAGAGAAACATCAACGATGAGAGAAAACCATTGATCAGTTGCCTCCTGCACGCCCCACACTGGGGATGGAGCCTGCAACCCTGGCATGTGCCCTGACGGGAATCGAACCCAGACCCGGGACTCTCCATTCCGCAGGTCGACCTCTATCCACTGAGCCAAACCGGCTGGGGCAACATTGACGCGGTAGCATCCCTGGGTCTCAGACGTCACGCTCTCCGACTCACGGACACAGACGCCCCCGGACACTCACAGCCTCGGTCCCCGCGTCCTCTCAGGCCCGCCCGCCTCACCTCCGCCTGCGGTCCCACCTGCCAGCGCCGTCCCCTCCTCGGCCTCCACCTGAGGCTGGACCGCGGGCACGACACGCAGGGCCCGGCTTTGTCCCGGCCGATCCCGGGACACGGACCGCCCAAGCGGCCGCGCCTCTGGCCCGGGTGGCGAGACGCCAGGAAAGACCGAAGCGTCTGCCCGATGGGTTACAGGCTTCTCAGGAGATTGAATGTCTGTGGCCGTGCGAGGCGGCATGAGGGATGCGCCGTGCAGAGCCCGCCGAGACGTGCCAGGCCTGGTGCAACCGGATCCCTCCCCCAGCCAGAGTTCTGTTTCCCTGAAGACGGGAGGGGGGCGGGGGGACTCGGGGACTCGGGACTCGTGCTCTGGACTGAGATGTGGCCACCTGCCGCCCCCCCCACTCCCCCCCCCATCCCTAAGGAAACCCCACAGACTCGCAGGAGCAGGAAGAAGCCGAGGGGCAGGGAGGGAGGTTTGAACCCCCTTCCCAGGAGCAGACACTTCCTGGAAACTGAAGGCCCTTTAGGACTCTCCTGCCCGCACCCCTCTTTCTTCCCCCAACAGCCGGCCGGCTTCAGTTTGCTGCACGGGAGGGTTTACTGCTCTCCCTCTAGGAGTCACCCAGGGCCTCCGATGCTAGCACGGTGGGCGGGCGGGCGGGCGGGCGGGGAGGTTTCCAGCATCCTGAATGGAATGTGTTTCCTGGGGCCGAAAAGGGCTGGGCACCCCTCCCCCCACCACCAGGACCAAACACAGGAGGACGGGTCAGTGGACCTGGTAGCGACCACAGGACATCCAGGCAGCCTGTGGGGAGGGGGGGCGGGGAGGGGGGTAAAACATGCACTTGAGCCCCTGAACCCCGCGGCTCGCCGGGCTGGCCTGGCGCAGACCTGCTCCCCAGGCCTCTGCATTTTTGCATCTTTTTCTCATCGCGGGGCGGCTTGTCTTTAAAAGGCTAAATGCTCGGCACTAAATTTGGTCACAGAGCGCGCGCTCCAAGATTCCCTGGAATGTCCTCAAGTTTCAGCCGCTCTGACAGGGAGCTGGGCCCGCCCCTTCGGGGGGGGACTGGCCTCTCCTCCCCGCCCGCCAGCCGGGCAGGCGCTGGGGCTCATTGGCTGCTGGGCCGACCGCTGGTCCACTCGCCCGCCCGGCCGGAGGAGGCTGCTGCTCCCAGTGAATCGCCCAGCACCTGCCTCGCGCCCGCGGGCAGAGGAGCCCGGTCCTCGAGCAGCTGGGGGGTCGCTCCACGCCCATCAGCTCCGTCCAGACCCACCTGTCCAGCCCGCAGCGGCCCCCCTCCCCGCCCGGCCACCGCCCCCCCTCCCCAAGAGGCGCACCCTGTTGCCAAGATGTCCAAGGTCGCCAAGTACCGCCGGCAGGTGAGCGAGGACCCCGACATCGACAGCCTGCTGTCCACGCTGTCCCCCGAGGAGATGGAGGAGCTGGAGAAGGAGCTGGACGTGGCGGACCCCGACAGCAGCGTGCCCGTGGGGCTGCGGCAGCGGAACCAGACGGAGAAGCCGGCCACGGGCAGCTACGACCGCGAGGCCATGCTCACCTTCTGCGAGAAGGAGACCAAGAAGCTCATCCAGCGGGAGCTGTCCCAGGACGTGGACGTGAGTGAGGGGGGCCGCGGGGCGAGGGGGGCCGCGGGGAGAGGGCGGCTGCGGGGCGAGGGGGGCCGCGGGGAGAGGGGCGGCGGAGGGCGGGAGACCCCGTCACCCCCCAGGATTGACGGTTTCAGGAGGACCCCTCCCTGGGCTGGCCTGGGACTCACCCAGTGCCTGTGTCGGGAGGGGCGGGGGGGGGGGCTGGCGGACAGCACCCCGCGTCAGAGGGGCTGCGGGGGGGGGGGCTGGAGGTGGCCCTGAGCGTGGCCCCCACACCTGTGGGCTCCTTCACCCGCTGTGAGGGGAGGAAGGACAGGTGCGCCAGCAGGAGGAGGCGCTCAGCCCTCCCTGCAGGGACCGGCTCCTTCCCGGAGGCTGGGCAGGGGGGCTTCCCACAGCCATGGAGCCCCGGGTCTGGGAGGCGGGGCCTGTGTGGCTTGAGTGACATTCCCGGGAGGGGGGCTGCACGTTCTGGGGGAGCCTCTTGAGGGAGCGGCCCCTCCTCCGGTCAACTCTGTGCCAGGGGCCAGGCCCCTCTGCTGGGCAGGAAGGTGGACCCAGCAGCGCCCGCCCAGGAGGGGTGGCAGCTCGGAAAGCACCGCCCACATGGGGCTGGGCGGGAGCCAGGCCTGCTCCCCATCCTTGTTGTCCCGGGTTGTTTGTGAGTTTCCCGGACAGACCGCTCCCTCCCACCTGGTCGTTTGCCTGGGGTCCTGGCGAGAAGAGGCCGGTCCCTCCATCCCCGTCCTGTTCTGCTCCCGGGGATGTGTCCTCGCAGAGATGAGGGCGGTGTTTGCAGTCACAGGCACGTGGTGACCGGATGGCAACCCTGGCTCCTGGAGCGTGGGGGGCAGGAGGGTGGGAGGAGGGGCCGAGGGCCTGGGCTCCGCTCTGCCCCCACCCGGGACCACGTTTAAGGTTTAGGAGGTCGGGAGGCAGGGGAGCCGGGAGGCTCGGGCTCACCATCCTGGGGGTTTAGCAAATGCTAAACCGTTTGCAGGAAAGTGAGAGGTGCGCCCCCCCCCCCCCCGTGGGGCCTCCTTGGGAAGCAGAGAAGAAAGGAGATGTCCCCACAGGCTTGGCACCTCTCAGTGCCCCCGGGGCCCCCAGTCCTCGGCTCTGTGCCCATGCCCAGCGCTCCTGGGCCCGCCATTCCCAGGCGGAGCTCAGACGCACACTCTTAGTCCCAACGGGGAGGTGAGGGCTCTGCCCCAGAGGCTGATTCCTACAGCCTTTTCCTCAGCCAGAACCATGCAGGCCCCCCCTATCCCCCCCCCCCCCGTGCACACTTTATGCCACGGAGCCGAGCAGGGCGTGCGAATGCGTGCGCTCACACGGCACCCCCTCTGCCCGCTTTCCCTCGTGGGATGTCTGTCCTCACCCGTCCCAGGGCCTGTGAGGGCAGCGCGACTGGTCAGCGTTCAGGGTGCATCCTGAGCCTTGGGCAGGGTCCTCTCTGTCAGTCGGGGTGAAGGGGGGAAGCCCAACAGGTGGCTTCTTCAGCCGCCTCGGCAAAGTGGCGGGTGTGCGGCCAGCCCTGGGTGTGAGCAGCAGCCCCTCCGTCTGTGTGACCAACTCACAGGGCACCTACCCGCTCGGTCTCCCGTCCACCAAACGCCCACCTCAGAGGGTTGTGGAGAGTCTTAACGGGCCGGACGGGCGGCACGGGCTCTGGGCTGGCGTGCAGTGGGCACTCCGCGACCGACCGCAGCCATGAATCACCAAGTCCCCGGAGGCCAGACCCAGCAGTCGGGGAGTGAGCCAAAAGCAGATCTCCCCCTCCCCCCCTGCCCGGTCCCCCCAGGGCGGTGCACGCCCAGCTGGCTGTTCCCTGAGTGGCCAGAGGAGTAAACATGCCGGGGAGGACATCACAGCAGCAGGGCGGGGGGGGGGGGGGCAGGGGGGGGGCAGGAGCTCTCACTGACCTGCCCGGGCCTCCAGAGGTTGGTCAAAACAGTGAGGCCACCTCCGCAGACTCAAGGGGCATGGACAGAGAGCCTGCCGTACGCCCAGCACCCTCACCTGCTATTCTGTTTAAGCTCCACAGATCTTGGGAAATAGGTGGTTTATCCCCATTATACAGATGGGGACACTGAGGCACCGGGCGGTTGAATGGCAGCCCAAGGTCACACAGGGAGCAGCCAGCCTGCCTGGCTGAGGACTGTCCCTCCTCCTCTGCCACACCAGGCCGGCCTGAGCTTGTTGGCTCCTTAGGGTCAGGGACCCCAGCCTGAGAGGTTCCATGTCCCGTCTTGTGGTCTTGTTATGGGAGCAGCGGCTGCAGCCAGGCTGGTCCCGTCCCCCACGACCAGGAGCGAACTGTTAACCGGGTGCCGGTTAGAAGTTAACACTAGCAGCACCGGGTGAGAGAGGATCAGGGCGTCAAACTGTTGGCCCCGGGTGAGGGTCAGGGAGCGTGTCCTGCCTGGACATCGGGGGTACGAAGGAATTCGGTTAATTCCTCGTGGGTGGGATGGTGCTGTTGTGGACATTCGTTGTAAAGCAGCGGTTCTCAGCCTGTGGGTCGCAACCCCTTTGGGGGCCGAACGACCCTTTCGCAGGGGTCGCCTAAGACCATCGGAAAACACATATGTCATTACATATCGTTTTTGTGATTCATCGCTGTGCTTTAATGATGTTCAATTTGTAACAGTGAAAATACATCCTGCATATCAGATATGTACATGGCGATTCATAACAGTAGCAACATGGCAGTGATGACGTAGCCACGAAAATAACCTTATGGTTGGGGGTCCCCACAACATGAGGAACCGTATGAAAGGGCCGCGGCATGAGGAAGGTTGAGAACCACTGTTGTAAAGGGTCCTCGCCTTGAAGACAGGAAAACTGAAGTATTCCCGGAAAACCGGGGGGTTAGGGAATCCGCGTTAAAACACTACAAGGGAGTGGGGGGCGTGGAGGGGGAGTGGGGGGCGTGGGTGGAAGGGCCTGGGCCCACTCACACTCCAGGGGCTGCGGCTGGAGGTGGGCTGTCGCCCCAGCTTCTGTGTGTGACATTTCCCTCGCTCACTTGGGTGCCAACAGCGGCAAGGCAGGCCCAGCTGTGTCTTAAGCTCTGGGTCTTCCTGGGGCGAAGGCGCCCCGAGGTTCATGATGGTCTCATGAGTGCTGTGGGGGGCGTGACCATCGTCATGAGTGCCCCCCCAGCTCCTGTCTGTCCTGGGGTCTCAGGCCCCTTCCTCCAGCGGGGAGGGCAGCCCCTGGTGTGAGCACCAGCCCCACGCTGTCCCCACCTGTGTCCCCACCGGTCCTGCCCATTGTCACCTCTGCTTGTTGAGCGAAGGTCAGCCCGGGTCAAGGTGAGGGGCGGGGCTGGGCAGAGCGGACGTCCTCCCTCCCTTGAAAGGGGCCGGCTCTCACTCACCTGTGCGCCCTGGCCCTCCCTCAGGTGGAGGATGGGGCCGGGCAGGTGTGCAGCCCACGGCGCGTGAAACCCGGCCCTCAGCTCAGGTTTCGGGAACTGGATCCCCAGCGGGTCAGCTCGTGTGTCCTCGTCCGTCCCAAGTGGAGTGAGAGCCTCAGCCTCCTCCCGGCTCCTGCCTCCCTCACCAGGGCCGGTCACAGGCCGGGGCACCGCGGGGCAGGCGGCGGCTGGAGGAGGCTCTGGCCCACGCAAACTGCGGGGCGGGTGGGACTTGAGAGCTCCCCCTGGGCCAGCCTCCTGACCTTCCTCCCCCACCTGCCCTGGTCATGCCCAGCACCCAGGAATCCCCACAGGGATGGGGTGCCGCAGGGATGGGGTGCCACGGGGATGGGGTGCTGCAGGGATGGGGGTGCCGGGAGCCTCCCACGCTGCAGCCCTAACCCTCAGACTGCCCTTTACAGGGTCTGCAGGGCACTGGGCAGCACAGCCCTCGATTAAGGGGATTAACCGGACTGGTCCTCGCCCAGAATAGCCCTGGAGGCAGGGAGGGGGGCAGAGAGGTGGAGGGGCGCTGACGGGGGGCGGGGGGGGGGGAAGCAGGCGCCCGGCCAGGGTTAGAGGAGGAAGGAGGCGCCTGTGGGGAGGACACTGCGGACACTCCCTGCCCAGGGCCTGCACTGCTCGCCCGTCGCCTATAAATGCGCTGAAAAGCCAGTGGGTGAGGGAATGAGGAGGGAGCGAGCCAGTGGGGAGAAGTGGAGAAGTCTGGGTGTCACCCCCCCCCCAACTCCCGCCCCGCAGGCTCCAGGGCCGGGAGCTCTCCTTGTCCGCAGCCGCGGGGACAGCCAGGCCGCCTTGGCAGGGCTCAGCCTCACGGTCCGGTCCCCAGGGCCACGGCGGACTGGACGCCCGGTCGTCACCAGGGCGCTGTTTACCAACAGCCGGGAGGGAGGCCCCTGCTCCTGCCCCCGGGACAGCCCGGGCTCCTCACTGGCCACTCGCCTGCCCTCGCTGCCCCCCGAGACCCTGAGCAGCGGAGGCGGGGGGGGGGGGCAGCTCCCCGGGCGCTGGTGCAGGATGACCGGGCCGGGTGCTCGAGCCCAGCTGGGCCCGGACCGCCCTGCTCTGCTGGGGCCGCTGGGGGACCGAGCAGGTCGCCTCCCTCTGAGCTGGGTCCCCGCCGCAGGTGGAGTGGCGCCTGGTCCTGGGGGGATCGGGGGAGGCCCTGGCGGCGCTGGGCCGGAACCGGAGGGGAGGCAGCTGGGCAGGCGGTGGCCGCGGGGGGCAGGGCGGGCTGTCAGGGGGAGCCCAGGCTCAGCCCCGTTCAGGGGGCTGGGCAGGCGCGGGGTGGGGGGTGGGGGGCGCTGCTCGGCTCCAGGTGCGGACGGGAAGGCGCTTCCCACCGCGATCCCGCGAACGTCAGTTTCCACCTCGACCTCCCTCCCCCAGGAGAAGGGGGGCCCTGGCTCCCCCCAACCCCGCAGGCCCCGCCCACGCCCAGCTGCGCCTCCCACAGCCTTTCCGGTTCCCTGATTCTCTGGGTCTTGTCGGCGCCGCACGGAGCACTGACGGCAGGATTTTCCCACGCGCTCTTGTTGGATATAAGTTACACTCCGGGGCCTCCCTCCTCCTCCCCCCGGAGCCCCCCTCCTCCCGCGGGGCCCCCTCCTCCCCCCGGAGCCCCCCTCCTCCCCCCGGACCCCCCCTCCTCCCCCCGGAGCCCCCCTCCTCCCGCGGGGCCCTAGCTGACCCGGCCCGGCCGCAGTCAGCCTTGCGCGCAGGACCAGGACCACCGGGCGCCCTTTGCCTCCGGCTCCTCGGCGTCCGCAGCAGCTGTTACTTCGCGGGGCGCGGGCCGCGCTTTACCCCCCCGTTTCCACTCACAGATGTTTGCGTTGCTCCCGTTTGAGGGGATCGCCAGCCACGCTGCTGGAGCGCGCGCGCGTTGCGACGTCATTTCTGCTGGAGTGTGTGCTGTGACGTCACTTCTGCTGGAGTGTGCGCTGTGACGTCATTTCTGCTGGAGTGTGCTTTGTGACGTCATTTCTGCTGGAGTGTGCGCTGTGACGTCATTTCTGCTGGAGTGTGCACTGTGACGTCATTTCTGCTGGAGTGTGTGCTGTGACGTCATTTCTGCTGGGCGGGGACCTCGGGGTGGGTCCTGGGAAGTGGTGGTGACTGATGTTCTCACCTGCAGACAGAGGCGATGCCTGATGGAGACCTGCGGAGGGTCAAGTGCATCCGTGTGAAGGTCAACGCATGACCTGTAGACAGTGAGCTTTAACCACCCGGGGGCCGTCACCCTCACTCCCAGTGACGCCCTCTCTCAGGGAACGGGGAGCGACCGCGCCCTCCAGCACGGCCTGCCTCCTGTCCTCACCCCTGTTGGGAGGTGACACTTGCCCGGCTGGTGTGGCTCAGTGGTGGAGGGTCGACCTGTGAACCGGGAGGTCACGGTTCAGTTCCCGTCAGGGCTGATCCCCAGGGTGGGGCCTGCAGGAGGCAGCCCGTCCATGATTCTCATCAATGATGCTCTCTCTCCCTCTCCCTTCCCTTCTGAAATCAATACAAAAAATTTTTTTTTTAATTTTAAAAAAGGTGACACTGGCCGTAACTGGTGTGGCTCAGTGGATAGAGTGTCGGCCTGCGGACTGAAGGGTCCCGGGTTCGATTCCAGTCAAGGGCATGTACCTTGGCTGCGGGCACATCCCCAGTGGCGGGTGTGCAGGAGGCAGCTGATCGATGCTTCTCTCTCATCGATGTTTCTGACTCTCTATCCCTCTCCCTTCCTCTCTGTAAACATTCAACAAAATATATTAAAAAAAAAAAAAAGGTGACACTGGACTAAACCCCAGGTCAGACCCTCTGCCCAGGACCTTTCCGGAAGGAGGTGCAGGACGTGTGTCCGCTTCCTGCCTCCCATCCCCGCCTCGCCCACGCCCACTCCGCGAGGACAGACCTACTTTCCTGTCTAGCTTGCGTCTCACTTGCTCGTCCTCGGCCTCAGCCTCAGTCTCCTGCTGAGACACCCCCCCCGCCCTCCCCCCCAGCTTGTGGCTCATGGACCCCGACTCCCTTCCGAGAGAGGTCCCACCCGGACAGCGTAACTCTGGGGGTTGAAGCCGGCTGCCGCAGCCCCCACGGTGCCTCTTTATCTCAAAGGGACCCCCCCCCCCCCCGCATCTCTGCTTTCGCCTCGCAGACGGCCTCGAGTCCTGTTTCACTGAGGAACCTGAACTCGGGTGAGAACGGCTGGCACTCAACGCGGCGCCCGCCCCATCACAGGCTGCGAGGCCTCCAGCGGGCCTCCGGCTCCCGCCCGCCCCCTCCTGGGCTCTCATGGTGACTGTCCCCCTGGGATCTGTCTTGACTCCGCCCTCCTGCCCTCCTCTCTGTTCCAGCTGGTCCCCCCAGCTGGTCCCATCCGTCTGTCCATCCCTCTCTCCCGCCAAGGGCTTCCTGTGCCCGCACCTGCCCTCCGGGCTGGGTGACCTGCTCCACCGCGTTCAGAGGGCACCGCGGGCCCTTCTCTCACTTCGTTTTTAATCCTCACCTGAGGGTGTGTTTATTGATTTTTACAGAGAGGAAGGGAGAGAAACATCAGTGTGAGAAACATCCATCAGCTGCCTCCCATACTCGCCCTGACCCACACGCTAGGCAGCGCCCTGACCGGGACTGGCACCCACAGCCTTCTGGTGCACAGGGCGACGCTCCAACCACCGGCCGGGCCCTGGTGCCTCTCACACACACACACACTCAGCGCGGGTCCGGCTTCGTCTGTGCTTCCTGCAGGCGCTGAGGACAGGCCTGGCTCTCCCTCGGCCCGCGGAGCCCAGCGCCCAGCTCAGTGATGTCAGGAAGGGTAGGGTGCGGGCGCCGTGCCTGTCCTGCGTGGTGAGCCTGGTTACCCGTCCGTCGCTCTCTGCTGAGACGGAGGGCGACTTCGTGTCCACGTCCTCAGCCAGAGGCAGAGCTGGCCGTGGTCCTTGTCCGTTTTACAAGCAGCCAGTTCGCTCCGAGCCAGGCCTGGTGCTGTGTGTTCTGCACAGAGGACCTCCAGGCCTCGTGCGCAACCTGTTCCATTCCCCTCCTCCTCCTCCTGCTCCTCCTGCCCCCTCTCCTCTCCGGGACCTGACATTTCCCGCCGACTCACCCCGTTCGCCTGCGATCCCCGTTCCTCCGTGGCCGAGGCCGCCAGTTCCCACCCTCCGATCCGTCCCCAAATCTGGGAGGCTCCTGGGAGGCTCGGCCCTTTGCCTCCCGATCCAGACGAGGGGCTGCGGCTGAGGACTCTTGGGGCAGAGCCTTGGGAGCGGGTGTGAGGAGGTGGGCGCGAGGCCCAGAGGTCGGGCACGCCCGGTGCAGGCAGACGTGCCCAGGAGCTGGAAGGTGGGCACAAAGGCCCAGAGCCCAAGACCAGCTCTTCTCAGCCAGGTTCCCCACAGGCCGCCCGCCGTTCCCAGGCTCCCCCCGACCCCCCCCCCAACAGCAGGCTCTGGATGTGCCGGAGGAGGTGCCCGAGGGCGGCCCGCGATGGGTGGGGGCTCACAGCAGGCCCGAGTGGGCACCTCGTCCTCCCCAGAGCTGGCCTGTCCCTGCCCGACTGCGTTCACAGTCCCCCGAGCCCGGAGACCCCGCGCCGGGAGTCAGGCCCTGCCTCCTCGCCTCAAAGGCACAGGGTGACCCCGGGGGCGAGGGCTCCTCTAGACGGAGCGTTCGCTGACGCCATCGGCCCCGTGGGGTCTGTCCGCCCCGTGTGACCGCGACCACGGACACGGTTGGTTTTTACTTGTTAAAACCACATCCCCCGTCGCTGAGAATGCCTCCGGGCCTCCTTGGCGGTGGGTGTTGTCGGAGCCGTTGTGGCGGGGCCGAGCCGTGTGCCTATATTTGGACATTTACATGGTTCCCAATAAACACGCGCCCCACGGCCCCAACAGACCTCAGAGCCAGCGCCTCGCTGTGGCCTGTGGCGCCCGTTCCCGGGGAGGGAGCCGGCCGAGTGGCCGGTGAACAGCCCTCACACGGTCACACCGTGTCCCCCTGCGGGACCAGGGCGGGCGCAGGGGCTGGGCCTGGAGCCCAGGAGACCGTGTCTCGCACAGGCAGCCCCGCGGCTCGGGACCGAGGTCCTGATGCGGATCCCGTGACCCTGGGAGGTGCATGGACTCAGAGGAACGCATGTGCCTGGTCCCTCCGTCGGGGGTTGGGGGTGGGGGGGGGACTTGTTACCACGTGAGGAGAGGACGGGCTCCACGCGGGAAACTGCAGGTGCAGGAGGAGCTGGAAGGCGAGGCAGCCGGCCCATCTCCCGCTCCCCAGGCCCCGCCCACACGCGGAAGGCCCGTGACCAAACCCACCTGGTGCCGGCACCAGGCCAAGCAGGCACCAGGCCAAGCAGCGTCCCCCCAGGAGAATAAGGGGAGCGTCATGCGCCGGCTGGGCTCACAGAGGCACAGCCTGGGGGCTGGGGGGCCTCCCTGCCCCCTCACCTCCCGCCTGGACTTTGGGGAAGCCTCCAACAGCCTCTTCCCCTCCAGCCTCGGGCCTCCACTCCCTCCCCAGGCAGCGGCCAGGCTCCTTGAGCCCACGCCTGGGCAAGGGGCCCTCCCTGGATAGAAGCTGCACGGTCTCCATCGATGTCGGCCTGAGCAGGCAGCCTGCAGGCTCCTCTCAGCACCCTCAGCCCCCGCCCCGCCCCCCCCCCCCCGGCAGAGAACGGGATACCCCGGTGCACTGTGCTCCCGTCTCCTTTCTCCCCTTCTGCCCCCCCCCCCCCCGACTCTGCCCAGTGGTTCCCGTCCAACCCGAGCTCGCTGGCCCTGGCCCTGCTGTCGGAAGCTCACTGCTCCCAGCGCAGGTGGCCTGCGCTCTGCCCTGCACCTCCTCATGCCACTGCGGGGGTGGGGGGGTGGGGGGGGGGCTGGGGGCTGGAGGTGCCATTCCCAGGAGGCGAATGCCATAAACCGGCCCCTCCGCCCAGCTCTGCTGTCAGGCCCAGGGCGGCCAGACTTGTCTGACCGAGGACGTGTGGGCCCCTCGTTCAAGGACCAACCCTTTTGAGACAGGACCGCAAGCCTTAACCCAGCTGGGCCCTCTGCACACGGGGCTGTGGGAGCAGAGGTGCAGCCTGGCTTGCAGCAGCAGGAGGCGGTGGGGGCCAGGCCCGCGTGGACGCCCCCCCCAGGGACCAGCAGCCCCGTTTCGGAGGCTCGTCAGGCGCTGCAGACCTGCTGGGCAGCGAGGAGCAGGGAGCAGGCCGTCCCAGGGCAGAGCTGAAGTGACTTGTTTGTTTCTGCAGAGATTTCCCAGTTTCTCCAAAAATGGGGCTTCGCCGAAAGCTCCCCATGAGTCACGGCCCGCTGGCTGAGCCCTGAGGTGCAGGGGGCAGGACACTGCCCTGCCCGCCGAGAGGGCAGAGGGAGCGGCCGGGAGGCCCAGGCCGGTGGCTGCTCTCCCATCACTTCGCGTGGATCCCAGCCAGGGACGGCCCGGAGCCATGTGGCCGTGGGGCCTGGAGGAGACGGGAAGACAGGCAGGTGGCCGGCCACAGGCGGTCAGGGTTCTCAGGGGCCGTCCTCCACTCCCCTCGCGTCCCCACCTACAGCTCCCTCGGGCCGAGGCCTGTGCCCTGGGGACGCCCTTGGTTGTTTCTAACGGAAGCCCTTCCTCCCACAGGGATGACTAGCCAGGGAGCCTAGAGCCGGGCCAGGCAGAGAATGACCTGGGGGGGCCCAGGTGCACCCCAGCTCTGGGACCAGAGCCGCTGGCCGGGCCGGGCTGCCTCTCAGAGGAGCTCCCAGAAGCCCAGCCCGGGCGGGCAGAAGGCTCTTCTCCTTTTAAGGCCACGAGCTCGCGGGGCAGCCCCAGCCCGTTCCTGGCCGCTTGGAGGAAACGTGATTAATCAGCCTGTTTTCATTCGGTTCCTAAGGGGCTGGCACAGGCCCCAGGAACAGCCACGCGCAGGCCCCAGGGCCGGGGGCATCCGGGGAGCCCGGGGGAGGGGCGGGAGGGGGCTCTGGCCGGGAGCCCTGGGTGAGGGGGAGGCTGGTGCTGGGTGCTGTGGGCAGCAGGCACCCCCGGGCCCAGAGGGAGGCTGGGGAGGGTCAGAGAAGGTCAGAGGTCAGGGGAGGCCACACTGACGCGGTGGCTGCTGGTGAGACAGGTCTGGAGCCCTTTCCCTGAGCTTGTGGGCGAACGTGGTCACGTTTTCACCTCTAAGGGCCCCGTCTCCTCTGAGGGCAGCTGGAGGGCGGCGTGGGGGGTCCTGCAGGGGGCACCGCGGGAAGGAGGTGCAGGGACAGGAGGGCAGCTGCCCCTCCAGCTCCCGTGGGCTGGGGGAGAGGGGGTTCGCCGGGCAGACTGGGCTGGTCGCAGGTGTGTCCTGGCCCGAAAGGCGACCCATCGGTTCCTCGTGTCCGGCTGCCGTCTGTGCGTTTCCTCTCCTCCCTCCCTTCCTTCCAGTCGAGGGGCAGCCGGGCTGCTGCTGCCTCCGCTCCTGAAAGGGGGGCCTCAGGTCTCAGAATGAGAGTGAGGGGCTCCCCCCACCCCCACACGGGCACCAGGCCCAGCAAGTCCCTTCAGCCGCCCACGGGCAGGGGGGAAGGGCACGAGGGATGGGCAGAAGGGGGGAGGGCAGGAGGGACGGCACATTCCAAGGACCTGTCTCACCCGGGCCCTGGCCATCCCTCTGTTGTGATTCTGGGGGATGGAGCCAAGGACTCGCTGCTAAATAAACCCAACCCGCTGGGGGGGCTGGTCCCCGATGGCATGTTTGTGCTGCAGGTACAGGCTGTTCCACAGGCCAGTGCTCCGTCCTCCCCACCCGGCTGGGGGGCGGTGCTGGGTCCTTCTCCTCCCCCACCCATCCCCGTCCCCCACCCCCAGCTCCCCTGAGAGAGGAAAGCCTTTCCACCAACCAGGCCTCGCCCTCCCTCCCTCTTACACGTTGTAAAGGCACGCCAGCCCCTAAGGTCCCCGCTGCTCTGAGGCCTGTCCTGGCTGGTCAGTTCGCTCTCACATCTGCTCTCAATGGTCCTGCCTCCCAGCTCCTCCAACATAGGGGGTGGCAGTGCTCCCCAAAGCGGCCTGAGAGCTGCGGGACGTGCCCCTTCCTCAGGGTCTGTGGTCACAGCGGGTCACAGGGTCCTAATCTCCCCGCTTAGAACAGGTACTGGCTGTAGAGGCCCCGTGTCTGGGACCCGCTGACCTCCCTGGAAGGCGGGGCCAGCCCCTGGGTGGGCAGGTGAGGCCCTGACCCGCAGCCCAGGTTGCTAGGGGGGTGCGGGTGAGGGGGTGCGAAAACTAGTGACCAGGATGACAGATATTTTCATGAAATTATAAACAAAGTAATGCAAAAAGCCTCCATGAACACAAATTCAATGTAAATACAGACCGGACCTGGGTTAGGGACTTGCCCTTTGGCCTCCGTCCCAACATGGCTGACCGTGGCCCCACCTGGACACAGGCCTAAGTCTTGGATGGGAAAGGCCCCGGGGAGGGGCTGCCGCTAGGTGTCCCCGGGGTCTCAGCCCTCGGGTTCGGGGCTGGAGCCCGGCCCTCCGGGTCCTCAGTGGTCACAGAGCGTCCCCACCCGTGTCCCGTCGCCATCCCTCTCCCCCGGGAGCCAGCGCCTCCTGTTTATTTTCTTTTCTGAATTCTTAGGAAAGCAAGCAAGCGGAGACCAAGACAGACGCCAAGAATGGCGGGGAGAGGGGCCGCGAGGCCAGCAGGAAGGCCCTGGGCCCCAGGCAGGACTCGGATGCGGGGCGGGCACCCCGGCGGGGGGTCCTGAAGAAGGGCTTCTCTCGAGACAAGGATGACGCTGAGACCAAAGGCGCCCCGCAGCCCAGGGAAGAGAAGCTCATCCGGGGCATCGACCGGGGCCGGGTCAGGGCGGCCGTGGACAAGACCGAAGGGGGGGGCAGTGGGCGGGGGGACGGCCAGGCCCCCAAGAAGGAGGAGGAGCCGAGGGGGGGGCCCAGGAGCACTGGCCTGAGCAGAGACAAGGATGAGAAGCAAGAGGACGGGAAGGGAAAAGGACGGGGAGAGCACACAGAGGCTGCGCGGAAGGAGGCCCCAGCGAGCCAAGCCAGTGCAGGAGCCAGTGCGGGCCCAGCCACGAGGAAGGAGGCCCCAGCGAGCCAAGCCAGTGCGGGAGCCAGTGAGGGCCCAGCCACGAGGAAGGAGGAGGAGAAGGTCACCCAGGAGGCGCCCCCCAGCCTCAAGGCGCCCGCAGAGGAGAAGCAGAGTGTGGCGGCCCAGAAGCCGACCCCGGGGAGCCCCGCCAAGCCCCCCGAGGGCCCGGCCCCCGCGGAGGAGGAGGCGGCCCCCAGCATCTTCGACGAGCCGCTGGAGCGCGTGAGGAGCAACGACCCCAGCATGACGGAGGTGAACGTCAACAACTCGGACTGCATCACCCCCGAGATCCTGGTGCGCTTCGCCGAGGCCCTGGAGTTCAACACGGCCGTGCGGGTGTTCGCCCTGGCCAACACGCGGGCCGACGACCACGTGGCCTTCGCCATCGCCATCATGCTCAAGGCCAACAAGACCATCACCAGCCTCAACCTGGACTCCAACCACATCACGGGCAAGGGCATCCTGGCCATCTTCCGGGCGCTGCTGCAGAACAGCACGCTCACCGAGCTGCGCTTCCACAACCAGCGCCACATCTGCGGGGGCAAGACCGAGATGGAGATCGCGGGGCTGCTCAAGGACAACACCACGCTGCTCAAGCTGGGCTACCACTTCGAGCTGGCCGGGCCCCGCATGACCGTCACCAACCTGCTCAGCCGCAACATGGACCGCCAGCGGCAGCGGCGGCTGCAGGAGAAGAAGGGGCTGCTGGAGGTGCCCAAGGTCAAGGTCGGGGCGCCCATCAAGGGCTCCCCCAGCCCCTCCCCCCAGCCGTCTCCCAAGGCCTCGCCCAAGAACTCACCCAAGGGAGGGGGGGCTCCGGCCGCCCCGCCGCCCCCACCGCCGCCCCTGGCCCCGCCCCTGGCCCCGCCCCTCATGGTGGAGAACCTGAGGAACTCACTCTCGCCGGCCACCCAGAGGAAGTTGGGGGACAAGGCCCTCCCCGCCCAGGAGAAGAACTCCCGCGACCAGCTGCTGGCCGCCATCCGCTCCAGCAACCTCAAGCAGCTCAAGAAGGTGAGTGCGGGGAGGGGCCAGCGGGGCCACTGGCGGCAGGACAGACGCCCGGGCGGCCGGTGGGCCTGGCCTCCAGGGTCACCGCTGCCCCTCAGGGGGACTGTCCTCTAGCCTCTCCCTCCAGCTTCCCCTCCCCCTAGAAGAGACACAACACGCAGCCGCCCCAGAGGGCGCGGCCCCCTGAACTCCCGCCCAGAGTGGCCAGCCTGACCGTCCATCCCCAAGGCGCCCGGGAGAGTCAGTGCATGCAGTGCAGGGACACCCACTGTCCGGCCCACGACCCCGGGGACAGCAGCCATGTCGGTGAGGCCTGGGCAGCAGGAGAAAGGACAGCGTCTCCTGTTGCACCCACGTGTCCACCCTCAGGCCCACTCGTGCGCCCGGGCCCAGGAACAGGCTGGAGGTGGCTGAGCCTGGCCGGCAGCTCCCTAAACGCCCTGCCTTGTCCTTACAGGTGGAGGTGCCCAAGCTGCTGCAGTAGGGCCAGGCTGCGGGCACCGCCCCGGGCCGCCCAGACCCGCCCCCGGCTGGCCTGCTGCGTCCTGTCCTGTCTGCCCGGGGTCCTGAGGCCGGGCCACGCCCTCTCGTCCGGATGTTTCTTCTCCTCGGGCGGATGTTTCTGGGCAAGAAGAGTCCTTCAGGCACCGCTCGGAGGAGATGGCGCGGGAGCCAGGGAGGATGTGCACAGGGACCGGTCACGGCCCAGCCCCGCCTCCAGGGCCAGGATTCAGCTCTGAGGAGCCCTGGGCAAGGCTGCTGGGCTGGTGTGCAGGGCAGGGCAGACGATGGAGATGGAGAGGGACGGGGATGGGGATGTCCGCTCCCCTCCCCCCGGACTAACAGAGCCTGGACAGACGGACAGTGCCTGGGGAGGGAGGGACAGGCGGCAGCTGGACCTGAAGGTTTGATGCCAAAGCAGACGTTTTCCTACACCCACTCGCTATGTTGTGAATCGCTGTCTTTCCATAAGATTTTGATAATATATTCCAGCCTTTCGCTGCGCCTGGCGAGGCCCCTCTGTGCTGTGCCGAGGCGCTGAGCCCCACCCCGCTCCCCGGGGACCCTCGCCGCCCTCAGCGCACGTTCACTGCAGGGTGCGGTGTGGGGACAGCCCCCGAGCGGGCTGCCCAGGTCCGGACCAGGCCCCCGGGTCTGCCCCTGACGCTGCGGCCCTGGAGGTCCCGCCCGGACGGGCAGAGGGAGCCAGGCCGGGCTGTGAGGCGTGTTCGCTCCGGCCCCGCCTCCCTCCATGGGGTGCACCACACGCGTCCTCCCGGCTGGACGGCCTGGCACCCCTGGCCCCGCAGGCTGACCGCTGCCTGGGGTCGGAGTCACGAGCGGGTTTCCCTGCCTCCGTGGCGGCGGGCAGAGCCGTTTCCCCATCTGGGGGCTGCAGAGGTCTCTGCTAGGAGTGGCCACAGTGGAGGGCACCGAGCCCGGGCCCCAGCCCCCCTCCGCCCTCGGTGCCCCCGGCCGGGGCGTCCGCTTCTCCGCGCCGTCCGCCCTGTGCGCACGTCGCTGTGCTGGGGCCGCAGCTCCGAGGAGGTGGGGCCGCGTGGCCCGCACTTGGCAGATCACGTCCCGCCCGGAGGTCGGCGGCGGCCAGGACCGCCCCGCGGGGAACAGGGGGGGAGAGGCCCCTCCAAGCCTCAGGCCCCGCAGACCGGCCCCCGGGGAGCCCTTTCCACCAAACCAAGGACGGAGGACACCACCGCCCACCCGCGGGCTCTCCCTCCAGCCCCGGGGCCCCAGGCCCGGGTGACGCCACCCCCTCGGCGCCCGGGAAGACGGAGCGCAGCGCCACCTGCTGGCGGCCCCGCGCAGGCTCCCTGGTGACGTCACCCTCCCGGGAGCCAGGCGGCGAGGGAGGCCTCCCCTGGGGACGCCCAGGGGCAAGAGCCAGAGGGTCGGTCCGCGCCCGCCTTTCGCGGGGAGGGAACGGGGTCAAAGGGAGCAAGTCCATCCGCGCGCGCGGCCTCCTGCCCGCGAGGATGCCCTCCACGCACCGCTCCCCGGTCCCGGCTGCTCCGCGCTGGGCTCTGGCTGCATGTGAAGCGTCCTCTCCATCCCTGTGCCCAGACCCCGCAAGTCCCCCGAGGCCCCGGGAGACGCCAAGCCCTGGGGGCACTGCTGCTCCCCGGCTATCGGCCTGGCCTTGGAGACCCCCGTCTCAGGCCCTGCCCCAGGCCGTCTGGGTGGCAGAGACCCCTGGGGGCATGGCTGGCACACTGGCCACCTGCAGACCCTGCCCTGGGCCCTCGGAGGAGGGAGACGGGGCCTCAGTGAACCGAAGGAAGGAGCAGCCACACGTCTGACCTGTCGCGGGCCGGGCCCGGGGTCGGGGGCCGGGGGGAGGAAGCTCTGTAATGAGGGCACCTCCCCACCCAGGGCAAGGCCCGCCTCATGGGCCGTGGGACCAGCCCTGTCCCTGCCCCCCTCCCGCCCTCTCATGTGTGGAGCCGGCAGCCTGGCTGGAAAGTGAGGACCCTGGACCACGTGAGTTACCTCTCAGCTTTAATCGTTTTAATCGGCAGCCCAGCCAGGGCCGTGGGACAGCCCGCCGGCTCCAGCGGGCAGGCGGCTGACAGAGCCCCACCCAGCCCCCAGGGCAAGCAGGAGGGTCCTGGGAGCAGAGGGACCAGGGCGGGGACCCACACTGCGGCCCTCCCCTGGCCCCCATTAGAAATAAAAATAGTGCAGCAACGCCAAGCCCCTCCGCCCCCACCAGCCCTCATTCATGGCCAAGTTCCCGCCCAGCTCCTGTCCACTTCCCTGCACGGCCCAGGGGGTGGCTTGGTTGGGGGCCTGTTGAGTGGGTGACCCCTGCCACCCCCAGGGCCAGTGGCAGACACAGGGGGGGCCCCTGTGATGGCAGCAGACACGGTCCCTCAGGTTCCGGGGTAGGTGCGCTGCTGTGGCAGATAAGGGGGAGGAGCTGGAAGCCAAAGAGACAGGACGTCGGGCACAGGAGCAGTGAGGTGACCTCACCCCCGGGGTGCAGGGGATTCGGGGAAGAGCCAGCCTGGGGGGTCTCAGCTCAGGCAGAGGGCGTCGGAGAGGGACCCAGGGTGATCGGGGGACGGGGAGGTCCTGGCACAGGGCTGGGGCAGGAGGAGAAGGGCTGGATTGCTCACTCACCTGCAGGGCTGTAGACAGGGGGCCCTGCCGGGTAGAGAGGAGGCTGGGGAGGAGCATTGGGGGGCCACATGAAGCCCTGGGGTGGGGGGGTGGGGTCAGCCTTGGAGTCCGGGGGGTATGGGTACATCGCCGGCTGGAGGGCACCCCTCATTGGAATGTCCTGGCCTGGGTGGGGGGACAAGGTCAGCGTTGAGCTCTCCGCCTCCAGGGGGCGCCGTCACCCCTTCCCAGGGTGCCCAGGTGAGCCCCACTCCTGCTCGTCAGAGCAGAGCAGGGTGCTGGGCGCGAGGCCCTGGTGGCTGTCTGTCTGTAGAGACCCCGGGAGTCAGAGCACAGCCTGGGGGCGTGTCCTTGGGCCGGGACAGGGCAGCAGCTCAGGGCTGGAGCTGACCATCTGCTGACTTGTCCCCAGCCCGTCCCTCCCACATGGACCTCCCAGGCCCATCACCCACATCAGCAGCAACGCTCACGGCCCAGACCCCCACAGACACCCGTGCATGTCTGAGTGGCCGTGGGGGTGTCCACGGAGCTCCGCGGCTGCCCTGGGCGGGCCCCACCTGTCTGGGCTCCTGGTGGCAGCTCCGTCCCCACCTGAGGGGCCCAGCAGCCGCTGGCGCCGGCGGACCAGGTAGCGGCAGATGCAGAAGCAGCAGCAGCAGATGGCGACCATGGCCATGAAGAGGGTCACGGCTGTGACCAGGCCCACCACGAACTTGGGACTGGAGGCGAAGAACGGGTCGTCTCACCCGCAGCTCTCACGGCGGGCACGGCAGGGACCCCAAGACTGGGCTCCCGGTCCTGGGAGACCTCTCCCTCCCGGCCCGGTGGAGGTGACGGGGACCGCGTGCCCGGCACCCTCCGCGGTTTATGCGCGGTCCTTTGGGAAGAAGCCTGGACTCATGAGCTGGGGCACCTGCATCTTCTCAGGGGAGCCCCGGCCCAGACACCCCGCCGGCGGGCGGCGCGCCTCCTGGTCACAGCTCCGTCCGGGACGCGGCCTGCGGTGGGCGCAGACCCCGGCTCCCTCCACAGGGCCCGACCGGGAGGTGGAGGCGGCGGGAGGGAGATCGGGCCCAAGAGGGCGCCTGGGAGAAGGGACAGCGCGGGGGGCGCCCACCTGAAGACCAGGCAGCGCTTCTGCTGGAACTCGGACAGGCGCAGGCTCCGGTCCCCGCAGCAGTAGCGCTGGCGGCAGGTGCCACAGCAGAAGGTGAGGGGCTCGCAGCTGAAGCCCAGGCGCCATGAGTCGGCCTCGTCCAGGTACCCCAGGCAGTCGGTGCTGGCCAGCGCTGTGGGCGGGTGCTGGGGGCTACCAGGCGGGTCCCCCGCCTCCCTTAGCCCCCCATGGCCCTTCCCCCAGGGACCCCGCTCCCCTGGTGGTCCCCACACACCTGTGGGGTCCCCAGCCCACGGGTGCTGGCAACACGAGTTCCCCTTGGGGCTCAGGGGTTGGCTTCCAGGGCGTAGACTCCATCCTCTCCCTCCTGCTCCCTGCCAGCACCCCCAGGGGCTCGGGGACCCCGCTCCTGGCTCCCTGCCCCTTACCCAGGGGGGCCCCCAGCAGCAGGAGGGCGATGGCCGTGAGGGGCATGGTGGGAAGAGGGCGCTGCGGGTCCTTCCCAGTGCCAGGCACGGTGTGGTGGCCGCACGGACGGCGGGCAGCGGTGACCACGCCCCGGCCCCGCCTGGCACGGTCCCCTCGGCGGTGGCCCGTCCCCGCGCAGCGCCCAATCCGTGCCCTGGGCCCGAGCAGCCCGGATCCGGTGCCGCCCCCTGGAGGGCAGGGCTGGACCTCCGCTGGCCTGTCCAGCCCAGGACGCCGGGGGAGGCTCCCAGAACCGGCCCCGCTGAGGCAGCTCCGAGCCGCTCTGTCCCCAGCTGTGCCTCCCGCAGGCCGGGCCTGCCCGCCGCCGGCTCCCGCGGCCCCGCCCCACGTGGGCGGTGTGGACACCGGGCCGGTGCCCAGCCGGGCTGTCCGCTGGGGCCCGCCCCGCCCCCAGGACCAGGGCCCAGCCCGCTCCCCGTACCTTCACCGCGGGCCCCGCCCCCCGCGGCCGCCCCTGCCGGTTGGTGTCACGTGGTCCCCGAGAAACTGCCCCTTCGCTCATGACGTCACCCTCTGACCCCAGCCCCGAGGCGGGGCTCCCGGTGCAGGGGCAGCAGGGGGCGGGGCGGGGACGAGGGGCTTCCTGGCCGGGGCAGCAGGGCGGGGCCTGGGTGCCGCTGGGGGACGCGGCTGAAGCTGGAGGCCGTGTCGCTGCCCCGGGAGCCGCCCCCGGGGATGGGACCGGCTGGCGTCCTTCTCCATTCCTCCCGCGGGTCCCACTTCTGTCCACAAGAGCGCTCCGCCCGGACAGGCCTGCAGGCTGCCCCCCCCCCCAGCCCTGCCCTTTCCGAGGACGGGGTCTCATTGCACAGGGGCTCCCCGGCTCCCTCCTCCTGCGGGGCCCAGACGTGGCCCCTGAACCCAGTGGTGGGAATGGAGGAGCCGGGCACCTGCGCGAAGGCCACGCGGACGAATGGCCTGGACGCAGCAGGCCCCCATTACAAGGCCCCTCCCCAGTGCGGCTGCGCGAGGCCGCTCAGCATCGGCCCCTCTGGCCACGCACAGCCCTCAGCCCTGGCCCCATGGCCCGTGGCCATCAGCTCCCGAGGCCGGCGCCTCCCCAGCTAAAGGGAGAGCAGGAGGCGGGGCAGCCGTCCCCGCGGGGACCAGGGACACTGGGTAGCAGGTGCTGCCCGGATGCCCAGGCCAGGCCCTCCTTGAGCTGCAGACTCACTCTCTCCGTCCACTTCCTGTCTGAGGCCACCGGCTGCAGGGTGCTGCGCAGCTGTTACAAATGCACCGAGGGGGGCACATGGGAGGGAGGCCTGCCCCCCAGCACCGCCTCCTCTCCCCGGACCCCACACAGACCGAGCTTCCCCTGAGCTGCCCGAAGTCGGCCGGCCCTTCCCTGCCTGTCTCCTTCTCCAGGAAGAGGCAGAGGCGAGGACACTCATCTGTGAAGATTCCTTTACTTCCTAGAAAAATACACGCGTCATCTGGGGCGCCCGCCGTCGCGGTGCCTGAGGGGCAGCCCTGGGCCGCGTGAGGAGTATTAAATAGTCGGGAGAGGTGGGCTCTAAAAAGCCCGTTTCTCCCGTTTCTAGAAAAAAAAGAGGAGAAGCAGACTGCCATCTGCCGGCTTCGGTGTGCATGTGTGTGCGTGTGTGTGCACATGTGTGCACCTGTGTACGTGTACAGACGGCTGGGGAGGACCCGTCATGCACGGGAGGGCAGAGGGACGTCCTGGCAGGGCCGCAGTGTCGCCCTGGGAGGGAGGGCCCTGGGCGGGCAGCGAGGCTCCCTCAGTCCCGCTGAGACCCAGGCGTCTGAAGCAGAAGCTACTCTCGGGGTTCACGTCAGGGCCCCGGAGCGTGAACACTGTTGTAGAGGACGGCCGGCCGGCTCTCGGCTCAGAGGGGGCAGACGCCCGTGAACACGTCCTCCTGGCAGCAGTGTTTCCGACTGGCCAGCAGAGGACTCTGGGAACTGGCAGGCGGGGGAGGAGCAGGTGGGGAAGGTGGCGACGGGCATCTCCTGGGGATGGTGGGAAGTTCCTGTTCCAGCATCGCTGAGAGACGACAGCACGACGAGCTCGGCCGGCACTGCGGCCAGGTCACTGTGAGGCCGAGGGCTGTGGCCAGGAGGCGCTGGAGGCGGAGGAGAGCACAGCTCCAGGCACACGGCGAGCGGCGGGCCTGGGCCCGCGTGCCGGGCGGCTCCTAGATGCCGATGGCCTGCAGCACCCGCCTCTCGCTGTCGCTGAGGTGGCCCGAGAACACCACGTAGCAGGGCTGCTGCGCGAACTGACACAGGAAGTCCGTGAGGTACGCCTGCAGGGAGCAGAGGGCAGCGCTAGCTAGACACCAGGCGTCCAGCACCCAGGGGTGGCCTCCCACACTCTTGGATCTGGTTTAGGCCCAACTGGGAAGCACCCTCTCCCTGGACCTTCACCGCAGCCTCCGAAGTGGACCCAGCCTGGCCGGCTTGGCTCAGGGGCTGAGCGTCGGCCTATGAACCAGGAGGTCACGGTTCGAGTCCTGTCAGGGCACGGGCCCGGGTTGCAGGCTTGATCCCCAGTAGAGGGCGTGCAGGAGGCAGCCGACCCATGATTCTCATCATTGATGTTTCTCTCTCTCTCCCTCCCTCTCTTAAATCAATGAAGACATATTAAGACAAAATTATTTAAAAAAGCGTAACCACATTGTGGTATAAAACACGAAGCAAAGCCCACCCCACCTCATGCCCCCGCCCCCAGCAAGCCAGGAACTCAGCCCAAGGCCGCAGGACGAACAGGCGCCCTCACCTGCAGGTCCACCTGGTAGAGGGGGTCCTTCAAGGCGTCGGGGTCGTCCTCCTCGTCGTCCTCGTAGTAGTCCTCCTCTGTCAGACACAGGAGGTGGGGGGTGGGGGTGTCAGGCAGGTGCCCAGCCCGCAAGCACCGCCAGGGGTGGGGGGTGGGCAGGGCGCTCACCGTATTTACTCGTGGCGAGGATGTCAGACAGGAGCTGGCCCGCTAAGCCCCCGCCCTCCTCCTCGTCCTCCTGGTCCTCCTCCTCGTCCTCCCACATGTCATTGGAGTCGTCTGCTTGGGGAGGAAAAGCAGCTGCAGCCACACACGTTCCACCCCAACGTGAGCAGGTGCAATGGGTCCGTCTGTGACTGCAGCCTGCACCTCCCATGGGCAAACCGGGCGGCAAATCCCCAGGAAGCCTGAAGGAAGGGCGGGTGTCCTGGGGGCGGGCACGACGATGACTGAGGCTGGGAAGCTCTGGGGGAGCCACCGCAGGCGGGCGGAGGCAGGGTCCCTGGGAGGTGGGCAGAGCACCTTGGCCCCACTCCGCGGGGGTGGCCTGGCGGGCGGCGTTGGCCTCCATGACGTTGGACAGCTCGTTGATGATCAGCTTCAGGATCTTGACCAGCAAAGGAATGTTTGTCCAGCGCTCGGGGTCTGGGGGAAAGAAGAGGCTTCGATTCAGACTCCGGCTCCCGGCCACGCTGTACTGCTGGGATGCTCAGCAGTCCACCCGCCAGCTCCCGCCTCCAGACCACACCCAGGCGCTCCATCAACAGCCACCCAGTGACACCCCCTCATCTGCCTGGTGCCGCCACAGGTCAGAGCTCAGGAATGAAAGGAGGCAGGTTTCGCCAATAAAGCTGGGGCACCAGGTAGGGGCCTGGAGCCGAGCACGCGGTCTCCACGACCTGCGGCTGGAGACGAGGACCCTGCAGGTCAGGCACACTCACTGCCTACCAGGCACTGGGGTCAGAGGCCGAAGCTGGCCGATAACCAAGACGGGACTTGGCCCCGAAGCCCAGGAGCTGGAAGCAGGGCCCCTGGTGCCGAGACAGCGCCTGCCGTCTCAGCGGAGGGAGGGAGACCTCTGTGCGGACCCACTGCTCCTCACCAGGCCGCCACTCGGTGCGCCCCTGCCTCCCGTCTCCCCCGCGTCACCCACTCTTGGCGGCCTTGGCGCGGGTGCGGACGCCCTCGTCCGCGCCGTAGATCTCCTCGCCCTTCACGCGGATCTCCTGCAGCCGCTTGTCGTCCGCGTTGATGCCGTGCTGGAGCAGCTTGCACAGGGCCACGGAGCTGCAGGGCACGCGGACGCCTCAGCCACCGCCCGAGGCCACCCCCGGGGACGAGCTCCACGCGCGAGACTCTGACGTGAAAGCAGAGCTCGGGTGGGCGAGCCCCCAGGGCCGCTGGGAGGTGTGCTGGGCATAGGCCGGGCAGGGGCAGGGGGGCAGGCTGGCCACGGAGGAAGCCTCCGGCTGGTGAGGGCCATGCAGAGGAGGCCCCGCCCACTGTGGCCAACGTGACGTCGGCATCGGGACCGTCAGGGACAGGAGGGGCGGAGCAGCCGAGGAGACCAGGGGCAGCGCCAGGAGAGGCCCACCTGACTTTGCCCTCGTACTGGCCGTAGAACAGGTGCTGCCGGCTCGTCCACTCGGCCATCACGAACTCCAGGGCGGGCTTGCCGGTGGGCCCGGGCAGGCTGCACAGGAACTCCAGGAGGGGCTCCAGCTGGGTGTGCACCAGGTGGGCGAACACCATGATCAGGGACTGGGAGCGAGAGGGAGGGCCGCGTCAGGACACACGGACACGGAGCCTCCTGGCCAGCGTCTCGGGCCCACACGACTGACCAGGAGCCGCCTGGTCTCAGGGTGGGCGGAGCGCAGACCCGGGGAGCAGTGAGGGGGCCCCCCACCCCGGCGGCGCCTCACCTGCATGACGCTCAGCGTCTCCGCCTGCTGCATCTTGCTGAGGACGGCGCGCAGGATCTGGTCCAGATTGTCGCCCAGCTCCCGCCCGGCCTTGCTGATGAGGGTGGAGACCAGGCGGCCCACGAAGGCGGCAGTGAACTCGGAGGTGCGGGGGTCCAGCAGCTGGCTCACCACCTGCATCACGTACCACAGCCCGCTGTGGCCCTGCTCGTCGTGCCACTGTGCCACCTGCTCCAGCGCCACCGACACGTAGGCCCGCAGGCACTCGCCGCCGTTCTGGGGACACAGGGGCGCGGCCGCGAGGTCAGCGGCGGGACACAGACGCCGGGGTCTGCACAGGCGGGACTGGCGCTCCAGGCTCACGCCTCCCCCGAGCGGGACCTCGTCTCCTGGGGGCTCGGCCACCGGAGTCAGCTGCTCCCTCAGACAGACACCGCGGTGCCCGCCTCAGCTGCTCAGCCCTCACAGACGCGCCTCTGGCCTCCAGGGACGCGGCCCAGCAAACGGGGTTTTAAGCGTCAGGCCCACCGGGCGTGGGAACACACCGGCCTCAGGCACAACTCAGGTCCCCAAGCCCATCTCCTGGACTTCACTCAGAGAACCATCCAGAAAGACTCCCTCCCGGCCCAGGTCTGTGTCTGACACCTCCACAGCGGTGACCCCAGACACAGGCGCCCACACCTCCACGACGGCAGCCACAGGCCACAGGCCACAGGCATTGGCAGCTGACCGACCCTGGCCTCCGGT